GACTAAGCAACATGAAACCAACCAAAAACCGAAAGGTAAGCAGATCCTCAATAATGTGTTGCATTACTTCACTTCTGGAAATTTGGAAAACAAAATTATTAATTAAACTAGCACATGTATTAATATGCACAGTTAATTGTATAAGAATGTCGTTAAAAATGAAGTAAATGAAATTTAATGCATAATGTGTTGCATTACTTCACTTTTGGAAATTTAAAAAAAATCATAATTGATAGAACAATTCAAATCTGTCTTAATTTTGTAGGCGTGGCGAACAAGCAAGCAAAGCTCTTCATGACAACAACCCAAATATTACTGACCTCAGTGATATAAATAGACCTAGTAAGATAGCAGAAAGATTCAGCAATTTGTATGATGATCTATTGACTGATGCATGCGAGGAGCTTACCAAATTCTACAGACAAGAACATCATGCAGAGAAAAGATGTATTCTTGATTTGGCTACTATACTTAAGGTAATTGTTTTACTATAATTCATTTTGTTTCTTTTGTCAAAACGTGTGAAGAATAAGTCAAGAAATGATCATTGGTGGCAGAGGCATCGCGTTTATAACGAGTTATTCTATATCATTACTATTTTTATTACTTTCCTTTCTTAGGAATACTACTATCATCGTTGGTTTTGTTGTTGTTGTTTTTTGTTACGTATATGTTATTTGACTGACCGAATTTTTATAGCGCTAACATACAACTTTTTTCATCTGAATCATGTTTTATGATAATAGAACTAAGTGGACAATAGTTACACATATAATTCTCATGTATATTAACCTTTATTTAATATTGGAAAGTGCAATTCATGTTTACATATAACATAAGACAATTGAAATGATTTACTAGTCTGAAAATATTTTCAAATAACATTGATAAGTTGTTTGTTACTACAAATTTATATACTATATGTACATTCAAGCAAATCTTATATACCGTTTCAGGCAGCGTTTGAATATTCGTCTAAACACGTGGATACACAACTTGAGAGAATTGCACATCAAACAAGAGAAATGATGCTGGATCCTTGCAGTGATCGACAACAGGAGGTATATTGTTTTATTCTGTAGTTACTTAATTGTTATCTACTTTCATCTCAAAAAAAGGCAAAGCATTTTTAATATTCAGTCTATTTGATTTGTTGTTAAATTTCTTTATATTCCTTCTGTATTCAAGTATTGATTGATTGATTCACACTGAATGGTACCTAACATAGATACTAACAAAACATGGGGAAAAACACACACAAAAAAAACCCAAAAAAACACGCATAATGAACAGACTTAAAAAAATAACAAAGCAAAAAAGTGAATATTAGTTCATTTAAGCATTCTTAAATGTATTCGGTGTATTGTGACCATTGTGATGAAACACATTGGATTCATGATCAGTAAAAAAATGTTGACCATCGTAACACATTTTTGCAATGCTATTGTTAATATAATGACTCTGTTATTATTTTTAAAGACAGATTTAAATGATCCTTTTCGACATGACAAGACACTTGGACACTTTGCATTGATCTGCATAAAGGATACCGCGGATCTAAGCGTTCCTGCTTTACAAAAGGTAATATGAAATGTTGTATGTCTTGATATCCATGCATCATTTACATTTACTTGTCAAAGTCGATAACCAGTTGAAAAAAATCGACAGACAACTTTTTCATTGTCACTTCACTTATACACAAATTTGAAGCATGTTGCCAGAAATGTTGTACTCGTAATACATTTGTACAAGTTATCTTGATTAATCAAGGGATGAAACAATCAAATGTTGTTATTAAACAAATGTAGTTCTTAAAAAGGAAAATTATTTCATAAAGTAAAAATTCTGGTTCAAAAATGGAACATTTGCACGGATTATTCTTATTATTGTTTAATATGAACTCTTTTTTTATAGAATTTTATGGTCCATGCGTTTCCCAGGAGTAAAGTTACTGAGAATATAACAAAATTGTCATCAGTGAAAAAATACACAGAAAGATGCATAGAATTAACCTGGCTAATGAATGTACAAGACCCATCAATGATACTTTTATGGCCAGACATGGTTTCATCCGAAAATTTAACAGACATTTTCAGATACTGCACTACAACAGGAACAGTTCTCGACTATGAAGTTTGGCCAGCACTTTTGTTATGCAAAGATGGTCCTATGGTTGTAAAAGGCGTTGCACAATTTAGGAATTAGCGACTTCTATATCAGACATTTATTGCATTGTCAAATATGAATATTAAAATATAAAATCCTATTATTTAGGCTTGCGTTCTTACAATACACCTTATCGCTATTTGTCCGCCATTACTGGACATCACAAAGGTTCCCGTAAAATTTTGAAGTCACATTAGAAAATGTCTGACGCCACACAGGAAAAGTACTTGATTGTTGTATCACGTCAATAGTTCAAGTGTCGCAGATTCCCAGGTCAAGTGTCGCAGATATCAAAATAGCGATAAGGTCTATACGTTGCATATTTTCTCCATCGATGTGCATCGAATTCATTGAAATTTCTTTTAAAATTTTTAAATGACTAATTGGGTAAAAATAAATATTAATTACGGGATATATTGGGTATAAGTAAATTCGAAAGCAAATCAACGATACGAATAACAAAAAAAGAATTGGAAGGTAACATAAAGTCTTCAACACTAGACATGTGTCCATAAAATATGTCAAGCTATAAAAGTCGCGAGTCTAAAATGTTATGAATAGATTTAACAGAGATCATCGAAGATCTACATTCAATAACAAATTCTCCAAGTAGTAAATAAAACAAACTAACTTACGGTAGTATCCGTCGAGGTTAGTGATTTGCGACATGCAAATTCACTTGTTGTGAGGTTCAACGAGTATTTTAAAGTCGCAACCCTCCCTTATATTCCCGCTCAATCAGTAGATAAGCAAAAGCTACTTAAAAAAGCAAACACTATAAAAAAAATCAGGACAAATAAAACCACCAAGCTCTGTAATAACGGTATGATAGATAAAAAAACACAAAAAGCATAACAATAATAAACAATACCGTAAAAAATACCTGCATTCCTGAAAGCAAGTTCAAAATACTTCACCCATTTGATAACAAACCATGTCGTTCTACACTCTAGTATCGGTGATTGTACTTCATATTAGATTTCATATGACAGAGACATAAACATAAACAATACAGGCAACACAACCTTTTGCTTTTCCAAGAAAAAATCTTTAAAGAATTTCATAATGAAAAATAACGAACGAAACATTTTAGAATTGCTTCAAACTATAAATAAGCGAACAGATGTACATCCTTCCTCAAGACGTACCGATTGAACAGCAACAGCATCAATATCATTGTAGTAAACCTTTATTCATAAGACTTTTGGGTCAAAAAGAAAAAAAATAGCGTCAATTCACAAACTTGTTCCATTATAAATAACAATATAATCAACAATCGCAATAATCATTCATTGATATGACATTGATTACAATACGTTATTTTAAATCAGTAAAAAGACAAATAGTATGAATACTTCCTAAATATATATACAGACTGAGGCAAACTCACAGTACTAAGTTAAAAATATCAAGGTCATATAGAAGAATAAGATGCGGTGTTTTATGAGTATAAATATGATGACATCATATTGGACAAAAAATTATCCAACTTTAATGAAGTAACCGCAAACCACAATATATTTTTATTAGCATGACTATTGGCTTAATAAAAACATCTATATCATAATGTGTATGGTAATAATCGTCCTCAAACCCCTTTACATTTTTTATTTAAGAATTGAATGCTTCTTTTTGTAAATTCATTGGGGTGTAAAAGCGTTGACCGAAGTATATTTTGTATGAAGCGCTTCATTCTAAAAATGTACGCACGGTCAACGCTTTTACAACCCTATGAAATTACTAAAAGAAGCATTCAATACTTAAAATTACTTTTTTCGCTATGATCATGAAAAGACGATTACTATCAAGTATTTTCTTTTATTTACCTGTGCACTTTATTGTGGAAACGTGTGTCATCATGTATGTTTCAATTCATGCAATTCATTTTGAAATGAAGAATGTCGTGAGATTGCTGTTAGCCAATCAAAATAACGTATAATAATGAAACATACATCTAATGTAATTATTTATTAATAAACGCGAAAAGAAATGTTATGTAGTGGGCTAATGATTAAATACCAGAATAGATCGCATTGTACGCTTACTTTCTTTGTTTTTTATTGATGATTATGATAGATGACTATTTAACGTCCAGCGACAACTATCACATGCTTATTAGGGACGAAAACATGCAAATGTATGATATAAATTTGGACCCTGCTTTGTACCAGACCCTTGTGCAGAGTAGGAATTTAACGTGCTAAACAATTTAAAAGATGTGGTATGATTGCCACTAAGATAACTATCCAACAGGGACCAAATGACGTAGAAGTTAGCAACTAAATCACGTATTAACAATCCACAGGAAGACATGTCACTTACTCGCACACACAAATCTGATCCACAGTCGACCAAACTTCCTTCTTACTAATAAATGATACGAACCAGCGACTCTTTTCACAAAATTGATCGTAAGTTGATACGAAAATGTTCATGACTTGCCAGTGATTTTACTCGTAAGATTTTTTGTGAAAAGAGTCGCTGGCAGAGAAACAGCAAAGACCTGTCTTGATTGACAGATGCGGTTGTTGTCAGAATTAAATAATATGTAGCTTCAAAACTAGCTTTATGGCAATACACTTCGAATAACAATTTTGATTGAACAGCATTATTTAATGTAGAGAATATCTAATAACTAATTCACAGGGAAAAGAAGCACATTGGAGTAAGATAAGTTAACTGTTTTGCATTAGTCCTAAGACTTAAAATGGGTATGTGCTGCTTCTCTGCTACATTGTAAGAACATGTGCTTTGTTAGCAGTAAGATTTGCCTTTTCATAGACCAGATTGTATATTCAAAGACTGTGCAATATTTATGCAAAAGTCACTATCTGTACATGGTATTGTATTGTTTAATTTAAAAACAAAAATTATGTTACCTAGTAATTTAGCAAAGTTATATACAAACAATCTATAAATATTTTATCTCTACATTGTAGTTTTGACATCATACATGTATTTATTTTTATATTTTTTCGACTTCTATTCATATTGAACTGATAGTCACACATTATAAGAAGACAGTAAAATAACTGCATGTATGCAATGTTCTGTCGTATCATTGAAGAAAATGTACAAAACAGCAATAGTAGATCCATTTTTATTTGAACTGAGCAACCCCTTTGATCATCATAGGACCATCACTTGTCAGCAGTAAAGCTGGCCATACCTCATGGTGTAAAATCGTTCCACTTCTCGTAAAGAATCTAAAAGATGTTGTTATATCACCTCTTCTGACATCAGCTGGCCATAAAAGGCTCATGGGTGGATCTTGCACGTTCATAAACCATGCTATCTGCAAACATTTTTGGCTGTAGGATTTAACACTTGGAATTGTAAGGATATCTCTAATTCGCTCCCGGCGAAGTTGCCATTCGAAATTCTGAAAGCAAAACATACAATATATCCATAGGTCTGTGTCCCGCGTGCTAGTATCGGATTAAAATGATAGAAAATTCCTGTTTTTGTTACGTCTCATAGGGTATGCAACAATTGACACACACTTAACCTTTGATTAACACATGAATTGAATTACCTTTTTTTTTATCTTTAAGATAATATTTTTTAACTGTACTTGTATTACAGGGCATTACTAATTTTCAGTCCCAATGGAATATTGGCTTAGCTCTACCAGTTACACTCTCTCCAAAACATATGGTCAAATAAAGACTTTTATTTCTAATCTATTTCTATATCCTTTTGGTATGTTTTATTATATACTTAACAATGCAAAGTAAATTGATTGATTGATTGATTGATTGATTGATTGATTGATTGATTGATTGATTGTTTGTTGCTTAGCGTCCAGTGGCAAATATGTCATGCATGTTCAGGACGAAAAGCAAATTGAAAATCAGTTTATTAAATATAGAGAGTTCCCTCTTTCCTTGCCTCTCTAGTACAAAACGAGTGCTTGTTCAGTTCATGTTTCCTGTATATTTCGTTTTTAATGCATAATTATTTAAAGAGGTAATATTGTTTGGTAAAATATGCATTTCAAAGGAAATAATCACAAATTATTTTATAAGAATTTAATCGAATACCTTATGTAATACTGGCAGACTTAATTCTGCATTTTCTTTTATACACTGCTTTGCATATCTTGGAAAACGAACCTCACACAGAGGATCAATATCAACATGTTTATGCTAAAATCAAATTATTCATAAATTTTATCAATGTGAAACAAATTTAAAAAAGAAATTTTCATAATTATTGGAATAAAGAAGACATTTCAAGAGCTACAATCATCTGAGGTTATTAGGTATCATAAATTTGAGGTAAGATATTCATATATCCGCAAATTAAATGAATTACTTACTTTGTATCATATTGTTAATTCAGTTTAAGATTACAAACCAATTCTTTTTTTTCGAAAACGTGTTTGTGAGTGATTTTTTTACTAGTGACTACAAGCATAGAACATACAGCTAGTTTTTTACTAGTGACTACAAGCATATAACATACAGCTAGTTTTTTACTAGAGACTACAAGCATAGAACATACAGCTAGGTTTTTTACTAGTGACTACACGCATAGAACATACAGCTAGTTTTTTACTAGTGACTACAAACAAAGAACGTACAGCTAGTTTTTTACTAGTGACTACAAGCATTGAACATACAGATAGTTTTTCTACTAGTGACTACAAACAAAGAACAAACAGCTAGTTTTTTACGAGTGACTACAAGCATTGAACATACAGCTAGTTTTTTACTAGTGACTACAAGCATAGAACATACACCTAGGTTTTTTACTAGTGACTACAAGCATAGAACATTCAGCTAGTTTTTTACTAGTGACTACAAACAAAGAACATACAGCTAGTTTTTTTACTAGTTACTACAAGCATTGAACATACAGATATTATTTTTACTAGTGACTACAAGCATTGAACATACAGATAGTTTTTTACCAGTGACTACAAGCATAGAACATACAGCTAGGTTTTTTTTTACTAGTGACTACAAGCATATAACATACAGCTTGTTTTTTACTTATGACTACAAGCATAGAACATACAGCTAGTTTTTTACTAGTGACTACAAGCATAGAACATACAGCTAGTTTTTTACTAGTGACTACAAGCATAGAACATACAGATAGTTTTTTACTAGTGACTACAAGCATTGAACATACAGATAGTTTTTTTACTAGTGACTACAAGCATTGAACATACAGATAGGTTTTTACTAGTGACTACAAGCATTGAACATACAGATAGTTTTAGTTAAATTATACTAAAATTGTTATCCCATGAATCAACATGATCGAATAGGAGAGAGAGAGACGAAATGAGGTTAAGATGTTTTACCTGACTGTCAAGTTCGCTGTTCATGAATGAATCACCATTTGGACTAATCATCAGTTCTTTCATGGACATGGCTATTTTACGAGTTTGTTTTTCTGCAGTTTCCTGTGTATATTCAAATGCCCTCTGTGCAAAAATCAGAATAAGTAAGTTAATATTAATATGAATATATACGCCGAGTTCAAAAATATTCGGAAAGGTGATATTGAAATTGACACAAAACTTAAAGATTGTTATCACAGATGCAATTTCCAGATTTTTTTAAAGTAAAAGGCACTATTGCAGTTGGAACAAACTACAATTTATAGGACAACAAGATGTCCTCCTTAAAGAACACGTACGATCATTCATCTACATACATGATAAGTTAATATTGTGCAAATCCCCCTTTTCAACTTTAGGAAGATAAGTTATGATAAATGTGTGTTGGGTATATTTTATTAAGTTAAAAAAACGTTTAACTTACAGTTATTATGAACAAGATACCTTTAAGATAATGGACATTTCTAAAATGGCTCTTTCTTGACCGTTTATTTCATGCTTGTAAAGTCTTCTCAGATCTTCAAAGGCATCTGTCCATTGGTTGTCATATAAACTGTTAAACTTTTCAGCCACCTTTGTAGGTCTGTTCATATCGCTGAGATCTGCAATGTTTGGGTTGTTGTTCAACTTTGTTTCCATTCTTTACAAGTAAAAAAGATTGATATTAAGCTAATATGAAATAAATTATAATGGTAAACATTAAATATTCAATGCATAACTATAATGCATTAATATAAAAGTAAGAAGATATGGTATGCAAATGAGATCATTTCCGCTAAAGAGCAATGCATAATATTTAAACAACAACATGAACCATACAGACTTCGACAATGAGCAAAACCCGTACGGTATAGAAGTCATGTCCATTGCATACGCGCGTTTGCAATCCGACACCTCATCCGGGACACATTTCGCCACGCAACACTGGTGCTGATATTGAACATTTCCGCATGCGCAAACGGATGGCCGGGAAAAAGAGATTTTTATCTATTCTTCCGGCTAGCCGGATTAATAAACACTCCGTGAAATGTTCCGGTATATAAAATATGTGAAACAATTCATAAGAGAAAAAAAACTGTTAGTTCAAGCTTATTACATTAAAAAAAAATAATGACAACCACAACAACAAAACGATTAAATAAACAAAACAACATATAAGGGCAACATATAGACCTCAAATATCGACAGGTGTCTATACATATTGTCAAGCTCTAAGTCGTCTTGAGTCTATAATAGTTGTGAATAAATTTAACAGAAACAGCATATGATCTGTCATTAAAATTCCAATTAACAATTAACAAAAAAAGACAAAGCCCACAACGATATAATATTGAAATACAGGTGTCTAAACAAGGTTAAAAAAAAGTTGTGAATGAAATTTAACATTGACTATCAAAGATCTACAAGTAATACAAAATGCACAAAATGACAAACGGCAAATACCGGCGAGTTTCCTGACTTTGGACAGGCATATGGCCATAAAGTTATGTATTTATTTATTTTCTTATCGATATGATTGAAATAAATTCATGCATTCTTAACAAATGCCAATGTATTATTAACATACCTATCTCTTTCTTCCTTTTGCCGCCATTCGGTGACTTTACTAACTTTGTTCGGTTTAAAATGATTTGGTTTCACAGGTATAGATGTTTCAAATCCGTTAAAATTATTTATATCTGCCTGAAAAGGAAACAATTCTGCAATGTACTCATATTTAATCATCTGGCCTAGGAATATGATTTCAATAACAACGATGAGTTACGTAGAACATAGACCACAATAATTCAGAATTGCTGAACTCTTTATTGCTATATTTATGTGCTTCAAATGTAACATAAGAATTTCAATCATGATTTATATTTTTAAAAATAGTTATTATTACACCATTAAAAGGTAAACAGATCACCAGTGAAATATATAGGCGAATTAAGTTGCATTTTCATCCCGTAACTGATGCATGAATGCATACAGTAGATCTACTCATTTGTTGATGCACCATCTTCTATATAAGTCGGATAGGATATATGTTTTCAAAAATACACATTCGAGAATGTTACTGTTTTCGTATTAAAATACAATCGCATATAACACCTTATATCATTCTTTAAAAGATGCAACTAACAGTAAATGTTCACCCTGAAACCTCATGTAAGTAACAATTAGTTCTGAACATCAGGCATTAGGCCATTAGTGATTTCGTTTGAATTGTTTCATATGTTGTCCATGTCGGAGCCTTAATTAGATGACTATATTATATAGGTACATGTATGGATTTTGCTCATTGTTGAATACCGTACAGTGACCTATAGTTGCTTACATCCATGTCATTTGGACTCTTGTTGATATTTGTCTCATTGGCAATCTTTCCATGTCTATTTAGTTTACATTCGTGATAAATGTCACTAGTATTCTGATCTATTGATGGTTATTTTCTACTTTGAATTAGGTCTTTTTCCCTTTCCTCTGTTTTTAATAAAGATAACGAATACCCGTCTAATAAAGTTACTTCTGGCTATCAAGAATTCATTTAGTGCCTTCTCGCTGTATGTATGAATACCGGGAATATCATTTTTTCTGGCATTTGTAAGTACTTTAAGTACAGATGGCACCTGAAATGAGCAGTTAGAAAATCTATTTTAATAACCAGTAATCTTAACAATTTCAGAAATGAACATAAACATTGCTAGTATATAATATGAAGTGACTTCAACATTGGTTCATAATCGAGTTTTAAGTCATATTTGTTTAACCATGTTAACAGAATACAACTTTCAAAATTTTATTATAATCAGTAAAAAAAGACGTGAAATGAAATTGACATGCTACGTGACAGTGATGAAAACTTTTAAGTCTGCCGCAGTAAATCCAGCCAACTTAAAACTATTTGTGAATGTTATGGAATCAGATTTTAGCATTTGACACAATGCTTTACTTTATAGTTTTTTCTTTACATTTCGATTTGCCATCTGCCATCTGCCATTTGCATGCACAAAAGTCCATAAAAACGAATTTATCGATGAATAACCACCGAAGTATTATGTAGTGGTATTTTAAACTGTACAGTTTGTAGTTTAGATTCCTGATGGTTCAATGTTAGTATGTCTTAATGTTCAATACTTACATCGTCACAAGTAATTTCCTGGACATTATCTAGAAGAAATACCAGTTCGTCCCGAATATTTTTGGCCATTTCTGGTGTTGGTAAACTTGGCGGATTTGGTCTCTTCAGTTTCGCACATTGTTCTAGGAAATGTTCTAACCGGATAAAAGCTAGATTTATCTGAAAATTTAGAGTAAGTCGTAGAAATTTTAGTAAAGAGAGATACCTACTCTTCCGGATACGTAGAAACTATTCTGTATTTTATGGACCACAATATTCAACGTGTCCACTACACCGGACATTACAAGATGCTGAAGAATGTCTTACATGATACGGTGACCAAACGTGTCCGAGAGGCCTGATTTGTTTGATGCCATACTATGGTCATTTAGAGAGACGGTTACGGTTTAATCCGTCTAGAAAAGTACAAAGAATGTTTAAATGAAAAACTGTAAGATAAGAAACTGGTTTAGCAATAAAGCTACAGTCTAGACACTTTTAATCTCCAAATGGTCAACAAAAAGACAAAGATTACATATCACCAAGCATAAAAATTAAAATACAGGGGAACCCTAAACTTTATTAAAATTTAAATACATTTAAATTGTGAAACATACACTTTTAATTAATAACCCATATCATATTATTGACATTAAACTGAACATATTGATTTATGAAGTGAATTGATATTCATTTCTTTTTTAGTGATATCTTAAATGATTCGACTTTTTTATTCATTTCTATATACTTCAATCTGTTCTTCTTTAACAAATCAAATCAATATAAAGCCCATGTAAATTGATGATACTGATAATAAATAGTAAAAGTCAATAATATTTTTAACAACAAATATTTACATACCTTCCGTCTATCCATTTCTTTTTGAAATTATTCACTCATTGAAAAAAATTGGAACATATCCATGTTCATTGGAAAATTAAAGTGTATAAAATAAAACATTTGGCAAGTTGGAAAGTGTTTTAACCCAGCTTAGATTTATGCATCATTTGAACAAGTTACCTTAATAGGATAGCTTCAAAGATTTTTTTTTTGTATTTCATTTTCATTTTTTAATTCATATTTTCAATTCGTAAATTTCTTCCAAATTTATGAACAAGAGAAAATAATAATTCCATGTATTTTGACGCTTAAATTTAAATTGAGTCAATAAGTTAATATTATTACACTACATCGAACAATAACATTGGTTTGTTTCATCGAATAATAAAATGTTACACTATATATGTACATTCAAATACTGTGTTTATTCCGTTTTTTTTTAAGTTGGAAATTTAATAACACATAGTATTAAGAAAATGAATGTTCCATATACGTGATTTGCATATGTTATTGTTTAAATATACAGATAATTGGTTTCACATTTGAATAATTATACTAAACTTGGCTTTCACCTATAAAGTGTAAATATATGTAAAATTGAATAAAATTCAAAACAATCTGAAGGGAGATAATTACAAATTGATAATGGAAGAAGATACCACAGAGGACGAGGAAAACAGGAAATTCCAACAGGTATTTATGACAATATAGTCTATGCGCTGTTTTACTCTCGTTTCGAACCTTGTCGAATTTGATTAACACCTGGTAAAATTACAGGTTTTGCATGAAACGCAGAACTTGATTACTCTATAAAAGAACATAATATCGTTCCCACTTTTTATTGGAGCTTTCAATTTCAATTTCAACTATGAGAAAAACCTATACCGTATAGTCGGCTATGAAAGGCCCCGATATGAAATATATGAAAAAATTGAATTGAGAAAACTAGAGGCCTAATTATAACAAAACAATTTACGAAAAAAAAATATGACAGACATGAACCATGCAACGACAACCACTGAACTACAGGCTCCTGACTATGGACAGGTACATAAAGAATGTTGCGGGGTTAAACATGTTTGTGAGCGCTCAACCTTCCCTTAACCTTGGACAGTGGTGTTACAGCACAACATAAAAACAAGCTATAAAAATCAGATGAAAATGGCTTAACTCATCAGATCGATACAAAGCAGAAAAACATTTAACAAAACACAGACAGGACGTGGCAAGGTATTTCTACATCCCTAACAACAAAAAAGACACAAAGTACAGATCTGAGAGTACTCGCAGTTACTGACAGCTAGTTCAAAGCCAATAAAAATTAATGAAAGAAATCATGTATCTAAGACGTTAATATCAATCAGTACACATCCAACATCCAATGGATTTAGTGTAAAGACGTCATGGACATAATTTTTCTCGAGACAATTTATTCTGGAAAAACATGAATCAGTTATAGTGGAATTTGCTTTGAACTAGCTGTCAGTAACTGCGAGTATTCTTAGATCTGTACTTTGTGTCTTTTGTCGTTTTGTCTGTTTATAAGGTGTTTGTTAGTTAGTTTGTGGGCTTTGTGCCGATGAGATGAATCACACCCTTTCCAAACATTTTCCAACTGATTGTTACAGTTTGATCTTATATTATGCTGTTACTTTACTGTCCAGGATAGGGAGAGGGTTGAGCGCTTGCAAACATGTTTAACCATGCCACATATGAAATGTGACTGTCCCAAGTCGAGAGCCTGGCATTAAGTGGTTGTCGTCTGTCATATCTTTTTTCGTTCATTGTTTTATCATATATCAGGTCGTTTGGTTTCTCTTATGTTTTCATTTTGTCATGTAGGGCTTTAGCCAAAAGAAGTTTCCTGAAGTCTCCTTAATTTTATAATATGAAATACATAAAATAACATTGCATGAATTTTAGTTAAAAATGTCGATGTGTTGATCATTGAATAATAAAAAATTGTGTAATATGACATTAATCCAATTTTTTATACCTTCTTCAAAAAAAATTTATTTGCTCTTTCAGCATTGAATGTACATCATTAATACGAATAACGTATTGCTTTTTAATTTATTTACAGCTAGAGGAGGAGTTTAGCAATTTAGAAACTTTTCTTCGGAAGTGTAAAAAACTTCTTAGATCGAAGATAACATATAAAATGTATCCAACCAAAACAGAAACAGAGGAAGCCGTATCAAGTCTACAGACCATCATTAGTATCAATGAAGAAACAGCAAATGATGTATGTGGACTAAACAAAGCCGTAAACTTTGTTTTTTAAGGAATCATGCTTAAATTCTACGATATACATGTGGGAAACAGTTAAAACTATGTGCAAGTTAAGATTTTTATTTGAATGAAAGAAGTTTACCTAACTGTTTACTTTCTGCAGTGTAGAAACAGATTCTTAAAACATAAGCAAAATTTGTCTCTTGTTTTGAATGAATGAATGAATGAATGAATGTTCATCTATCTTTGTAAAAAATAAAATATATTAAATTCGCCTTAAAATCCAGCAATGTATACTAAAAGCAGCAAATTCAGTATTTTTTACTTTGATTCAAATAGTGTTGGTGTTTAATTTGATTATTATTCATGAGTTGAAGTTTCTTTAAATGTACTTGTATAATATGATAAAAGGAATACAATATATTCAATAGCGAGGAATAGTTGATAATCTTTTTACAGGTAAAACTGGTATTTGAATTTATAGGATTAGTGCTGAACAGAAAATGGAAACAAGTAAAGAAAACTGTACTGTCTGCCTGTATGGAGTTAGATGCTGCAGAATGTAAATATCTAAAGGTATATCAGTTACAAATATCCTATCATATATAGACCCCATTTTACTCCTCGTTTGTCAAAGCAGAGATGAAATTAATGAAATTGAATAAATAAAGATGTAAATTGATGAATAAGCTCTAGTTTGGTTAACGGTATTTGAAGATTATTATTTTATATTCCAGAGGGATACTGTTGAGTCCAAGTTGAACAAACCATCAAGTATAGAGCTTGCGAATTTTGATGTTTGGAAGGAATCTGCTTTGTTACGATTTGGGTTAGAACTTTAATACTTTTTGTCGGATTTAGATTTTGTATTTTGTACAGTCTTGGCAAAACTTACTTTAATTTAATTCGGTAACCTAAAACACATGAATATAGCATAATCGTTTCACAAATTCGTCTAAGCACCTTTGTTAAAAAAATTCAATGTTTGCACTAGATTGACCAGCTGACCTAATGCATTTTAGCAATTCTCTTTGTACTTTGCAGTCAGGCAATTATAACCATCTTTAATGAAATGTTTTCTTAAATACAGTTTTTGTGTAGGACTTCCTGAGCGCCTTGAAACTTAAATGATATACAAATGAGAGTTTCCACTTAAAAAAGGTTACTTACTGAAAGTAACTGTGTGAATATTTTCATGAATACACCACTGCTTTCAGTATAGAACCTGAAGAAGTCCTCAAATACGATACTGCACTTGCGGAAGAATGCATTGACAAATCTTTGCCTACACAAATGGCCAAACAATTTTGCGGTATTTACGACGTTTACTGGTCAGAAGCCTTCAATCAAGCAAAACAACAATTCATCGACGACAAGGAAGATGAAGAAATAATAAAAGAAATAGCAACACTAACACAGGTATATATCAATCAGATTTACTAGTAATAAATAATTTTTAACGCCACTGGTAAATGTAAATGTTTCTTTTTTTACTTTTTATGTGTATTTCATTTTTTTGCTTTAAAACCCTTATACTCAGGGTGAAATATCTTTCAGGTCTGAATTTAAAAAATAGAACAAACAAGGTAGAAGCTAAGAGATGAAATTAGCACATAATACTTTCATGTACATATGTAAAATATTGACCACATAAAATGTGTATTTGGATCTTCTCATTTGTCCCATATATTTGCGTTCAATTTCTATGTGAAAAACATTCCGTTTTTATTGAAGTGACTTGTATGTAAAATAATTTGTCCTTTAAGATAATACATTGTTTCAACATATGGGGCACTTTTACAGATATTTATGTACAACTTATACAATCTAAGTGAATTTTGCAGATACATATAATGAAGATTAAGATGGATTTAATGGGCAGTGCAGTTCCTTAAAACAAATACTGAACATCTCACTTACACATCTCTATTTTTTTACATCCGAGTAAAACGTATTGTTTTTGCCTCACAAAGTGTAAATGTGCAATACTGGATTAACTTTCGTCAGAAACGATCAAAATCATAACTGAATTAACGCATAGGTATCTGTATAACCATAAAGGAATTCATAAAAAAAAACTAATACCCAAACTATATAAGCTTATGTAAATTTGCTGGATGCCGTTGAAACACAATTGGCGACTAATATTACATCAGAAGTTATTTCTATCCAATTGGGGTACATGTAATTCATAGTAAAATGTTTTTTTTTGTGCAACCTCAGAGAAAAACGCTAAATGGTTGTTTCTTTGCTTTTTTTTTATTCATGCCGATACGGTATTTAACTTTTTTTAGCTTCTATTTGACTATATAAAGGATAAGGTAACTACGCAAGTTAAACAAATGACTGTTACCATGACAAAAATAGTCACAGAACCAATCATCGTCAAGCAGAAATCCAGTAGATCCACATCTGTAAGTTGTAAGTCATAATATTATTATATACTCTGTTACTACTGTTCTCAGCTGTCTTTTGTTAGTCATTTATTGTATATATCTATGTATATGCTTCTTGCAAATAAAGTATTCATTCATTCACTCATTCATTCAAATTGGTATGGTATTACATTTCTATATGAGACAGGTGTTAAAACGTAATGAGATATCAAGCAATTAAAATGAGTCGACGATAAACACCTGCAAGTTTCGAGTGAAAAGGGACAAAGTCTGTAACTATATAAAGTCTTTGTACGACTGATTTTTCTTTCGCTGTGAGGTATGGCTTTTTGCATATTTTAAGTTATTCTTCGTTCCCTATAATTTTACAAAAAATACGTCGTACAGACTCTCAATCTAGACCATATAAATTCATCTTTTAACTTTTCTTGACTAACACGTTCAAAGAAAAAAAAAGGAAACAGTGCACACGCGAATAACAAACCATCATAAAAAAGCAATGATCTTTTATTCTACTTTTGAGAGCACTTAAATTTTAGCATTGATCGTCAATCATTACCACAGAAGTTGAATTCAAAATTAAGATTTGAAGAAATTGCATTCCGACCTATGAGAATTGAATCCTAGTTATTCATTCATTTGAACTGACTTCTGTATATTTCAGACAACAAAAACTGTGAACACAAATGCAGAGGAATACCAAGCAGTGTTACCGTACGCTAGATTGGCAGTGAGAGATACAATTCGCTATAGTTTACCAGTACTAATGAAGGTGAAGTTCTGAAATATAATAATTGCAGTATTAAACATTTATCTTCTTGTTTGAAAGGTCTGTCATTTTGATATCGAAATTAAATCATGTGTCAATGATCATTTGAAAGACCGACCTTGCGAGATTTTCAAAGCCACTTAAGTTTCCAAACACCCCTAAGCTATTGAATAGTAACGTTCAACTTCGTACTTTATTTGGCCCTTTTTAACTTTTTTTCATTTGAGCGTCACTGATAAGTCTTTTGGAGACGAAAGGCGCGTCTGGCACACACAATTATAAGGGCATACGATACAGTTACAGGAGAGGTAATGACGTTGTTAACGTAAAATGTTATTTCCGCGACGTCAAACTGTGACATATCGGGAACAGATGCATTTTTATCATTCAGACAGATTTAACTTGAAAACGAGTTCATGGACCCCTCTTTTTTAAAATGACATTAGGTTTGATTACGTATGAAGATTATTTGTCCAATTTTTATGAAAAAAATACCGATGAAATTTTTTTAAATTACTTAGTAGATAAATATACAGCAAAATATTCCGTTTTCTTTTTCTAAAATCATGAAACTTTGATAAAAAATAATTATTTCCAAAGAATTGTTATACAAATTTAGAGCATACTTATGTAAAGAAGATTTTCCAAATATTTTTACAAAAATCCGCTTTTGTTTATCTTTTGAAACAAAAAAGTTAGGTATGTCTATCCAAAGAATAGAAATGTCAAAAAAACAGATATTTTGAGTAAATGTCTAAAATTTCGACCCCATTTATCTCTTAAAGTAGCACATGAAGGTATATTTTTTATTACATATTGGAATTGACTAGGTGAAAAATAGCTTGTATGAAAATTTTCGTAAAAAAATCACCGTGGGATAAAAATTGTATCGTAAAACTATGCCCTTAATCCTGGTATCTTTGATGAGTTTATCGTTTAGCAAACCTTGTTTTATTTGAATACTTATACAGCCACTCGTGATAGGAATCCACTTTATAGAATGGAAAATGCGTTCTTAGCTCACCCGACATAGAATTGAATTGTTATTAAATTGACCGGAAAATTAGTATTCATAAATTGGAACAAATCAGAATGAGGTATGAATCAAGTATAAAAGCAAGATAAGAAAAAAGTATTTGAATCTGAAACATACATGATTATATAAATTTCGTCTAACGATAAACCAGTTTGTAATGATCACTTTATCATTTGAATTAATTTTCATGGTATCGGTCATAAGTATATCCATTGGTATAGAAACATTATTATCTGACTAGTCAGTAATTTCAGCAGGGTAGATTAATTACAATGTTGACTACACATGAGGGTATCAAATGGTCAGCAACATCATATCGTGACTTTGTTGTTGCTTTTATTTCTCGTCGGATCTGCTTTAGTTTGGAATATGGAAAACATAAACTTTACTATACATACAATCAACTTTGTTAGAAGAGGGAGGTCTGTTACTACGCAGATCTATCGAAGACTATGTATGCTACCATTTTAGACAGTAACTTCTCTTATTCATACTGATTTCGTAATAATTATTATGATAATTAATGTTTTGTATTACCACAGGACTTTACAGCAACGCAGATTTCACGGCAACTCAAACCGTATCTCAGTTTGGACAAAGTTAATAATTTCTTAGACAAATGTTCTCAATTTTCATGGAATATCAATGTTATGGAGTTGCCTATGGTGCTTTTGTGGCCAACAGATGCAACAAAAGACAAACTATTTCATTATTTTAGATATTTTACAAAATTTGGAACTGAGCTAGAGCATGGTGTGTGGCCAGCTTTGTTATTAAATGAGGATGGACCAATTATGGTTAGAGGTGTGGTTCAGCTAAAATAATTACGAAAGCTTTGTCATGTTAAATCCCGTATACATTAATGAAGTCTTAAATAGACAATTTCCGTCATCGTAAATTACGTTGTGCAGTCTGAGTGTTCAGAAATGACGTCTATATCATTTAGCAACGTTTTAAACAATTATCTTTCCATAATACGATACCCTGTATGTTGAGGTCCATTTTAGCATTCATATGTTTTTTTCCTAAAAGTGCAAAAAAATAATTGAATAAATAATGCCATCATGCATGAATTGTACCAATTCAGAAGGAGGTGACATTTTTGTTTTTCCTAAATAATCCAAAGAAGGCATTTTAAAATCAAATTATGGTTTCATAACAAATAGAGATTTCTAGTTAAACATCAAATTTGTATGTAAACGAGTGAGTAGTTGGAGTAGACAATAAGTGGTTAATCAAAATCCGCAAGCCAAGAAAACCCATGAACAAACGAAAAAAGAGACAAAAAGCAGACCACACAGATAATTAAAAATTGAGCAATACAAACCCAACAAAAATCGGGTTGAACTTATGTGCTCTGGAGTATTCAGCAGTTTCTGTTGCAAAAGTGAAATCTGTCGATTTACTCTGGTTAAAATCCTTTGATGTAACATATCAAGTGATTAGGAATCGCACAATATCGGATTAGCAAATGTCGCTTGTCTAACAATAACACATTAACAAATGCATGAACCATCTTCAAGTGTAAATTTTCTAATCCAAATACTTAATGTTTAAAAATTGAAACAGTTTATAGTGCAAAAGACAGCAAGGACCGTATCCGATAAAAAAAAAGAACATATATATGACAATTAAAAATCCGATAAGTAGAATTCGTAGAATCCAATGTAATCCATGTGGCTCTAGCACATTGTTTTTGGAAATTTTTTTAAATTACTTAGTAGATAAATATACAGCAAAATATTCCGTTTTCTTTTTCTAAAATCATGAAACTTTGATAAAAAATAATTATTTCCAAAGAATTGTTATACAAATTTAGAGCATACTTATGTAAAGAAGATTTTCCAAATATTTTTACAAAAATCCGCTTTTGTTTATCTTTTGAAACAAAAAAGTTAGGTATGTCTATCCAAAGAATAGAAATGTCAAAAAAACAGATATTTTGAGTAAATGTCTAAAATTTCGACCCCATTTATCTCTTAAAGTAGCACATGAAGGTATATTTTTTATTACATATTGGAATTGACTAGGTGAAAAATAGCTTGTATGAAAATTTTCGTAAAAAAATCACCGTGGGATAAAAATTGTATCGTAAAACTATGCCCTTAATCCTGGTATCTTTGATGAGTTTATCGTTTAGCAAACCTTGTTTTATTTGAATACTTATACAGCCACTCGTGATAGGAATCCACTTTATAGAATGGAAAATGCGTTCTTAGCTCACCCGACATAGAATTGAATTGTTATTAAATTGACCGGAAAATTAGTATTCATAAATTGGAACAAATCAGAATGAGGTATGAATCAAGTATAAAAGCAAGATAAGAAAAAAGTATTTGAATCTGAAACATACATGATTATATAAATTTCGTCTAACGATAAACCAGTTTGTAATGATCACTTTATCATTTGAATTAATTTTCATGGTATCGGTCATAAGTATATCCATTGGTATAGAAACATTATTATCTGACTAGTCAGTAATTTCAGCAGGGTAGATTAATTACAATGTTGACTACACATGAGGGTATCAAATGGTCAGCAACATCATATCGTGACTTTGTTGTTGCTTTTATTTCTCGTCGGATCTGCTTTAGTTTGGAATATGGAAAACATAAACTTTACTATACATACAATCAACTTTGTTAGAAGAGGGAGGTCTGTTACTACGCAGATCTATCGAAGACTATGTATGCTACCATTTTAGACAGTAACTTCTCTTATTCATACTGATTTCGTAATAATTATTATGATAATTAATGTTTTGTATTACCACAGGACTTTACAGCAACGCAGATTTCACGGCAACTCAAACCGTATCTCAGTTTGGACAAAGTTAATAATTTCTTAGACAAATGTTCTCAATTTTCATGGAATATCAATGTTATGGAGTTGCCTATGGTGCTTTTGTGGCCAACAGATGCAACAAAAGACAAACTATTTCATTATTTTAGATATTTTACAAAATTTGGAACTGAGCTAGAGCATGGTGTGTGGCCAGCTTTGTTATTAAATGAGGATGGACCAATTATGGTTAGAGGTGTGGTTCAGCTAAAATAATTACGAAAGCTTTGTCATGTTAAATCCCGTATACATTAATGAAGTCTTAAATAGACAATTTCCGTCATCGTAAATTACGTTGTGCAGTCTGAGTGTTCAGAAATGACGTCTATATCATTTAGCAACGTTTTAAACAATTATCTTTCCATAATACGATACCCTGTATGTTGAGGTCCATTTTAGCATTCATATGTTTTTTTCCTAAAAGTGCAAAAAAATAATTGAATAAATAATGCCATCATGCATGAATTGTACCAATTCAGAAGGAGGTGACATTTTTGTTTTTCCTAAATAATCCAAAGAAGGCATTTTAAAATCAAATTATGGTTTCATAACAAATAGAGATTTCTAGTTAAACATCAAATTTGTATGTAAACGAGTGAGTAGTTGGAGTAGACAATAAGTGGTTAATCAAAATCCGCAAGCCAAGAAAACCCATGAAAAAAACGAAAAAAGAGACAAAAAGCAGGCCACACAGATAATTAAAAATTGAGCAATACAAACCCAACAAAAATCGGGTTGAACTTATGTGCTCTGGAGTTTTCAGCAGTTTCTGTTGCAAAAGTGAAATCTGTCGATTTACTCTGGTTAAAATCCTTTGATGTAACATATCAAGTGATTAGGAATCGCACAATATCGGATTGGCAAATGTCGCTTGTCTAACAATAACACATTAACAAATGCATGAACCATCTTCAAGTGTAAATTTTCTAATCCAAATACTTAATGTTTAAAAATTGAAACAGTTTATAGTGCAAAAGACAGCAAGGACCGTGTCCGATAAAAAAAAAGAACATATATATGACAATTAAAAATCCGATAAGTAGAATTCGTAGAATCCAATGTAATCCATGTGGCTCTAGCAAATGGAGCATATCATTGGTCATCTGTGACACAGACCTTCCATAACAGGCCACCATCTCATGTTGGCGTCCTTAAAACTGTTGAATTAATTATATCAACTTTACCATTTAGAACATATGGTTTAATACCTTCCTTGTTAGCAGCAATCCTTTATCACGGAAATCATCATAGTAAATGCAAGCTCTGGAATATTGTATAACTCATCAAAGATACCCAGCTTATAATTTGGTACGTCAAACGCAAAGACTAGATAAAACTCAGCAGTGGCGCTCGAGATAAAAGGCAAAACCAAATATACGAAGTTGAAGAGCATAAATATCCGAAAAGTGGAGCAAAATGGTGCTATGGCTATCTATGTATGGAAAGAAAAACCAGAGTGTTTGGAATACAATGGGCTATATATACTCCAAATGCAAGTGCTGTACTGTTGGACTGTTGCTGCATCGAAACGGAAATGAAATCATCTGTTTCGTTGTAAGGTTTAATTCTCAACCGATCCTCACTGTTGATTTATAGTGTAAAGTCGAGATAAAACTGACTTTGTGGTATCCGTTTTTTCAAGTGTAATGAGATAAATGTATCAATATAGTTTACCGAATTTTTCAGCTGATATCATCTATAGAGTTCAAAGTGAAGTGAAAAGATAATGCTAGCCTCTTTTAATTTCTCCTTAGAAATCTCAATAATATTCTTCTTAAGAAGGTCATGTTTTGAGTCTGTTCAAAAGAGTAAAGGAACATCCCTGAATCGAATGCAAATAGGATGATCTAAAATAGACAAGTCACGTGTTTAATATGTTATTTTCTGACTAATCACATGCGGATGCACGAAATTAAAATAAAGTGTTATTTTCATTTACTAGCGCTGGGTCGATACTACTGTTGGTGAACTGTTAGTCTCCGAGGGTATTATTAACTCAGTAGTCAGTGATTCGGTACTGACATGATTTTTAACAAACATTCCTAATTCTGCGATGATAATTTAAGAAATCATCTTTGAAAATAAGTTTCGAACTCCCTCAGGCAAAGTTGATATTAGATGGGTTTGGATATTTTTTAGGTACACTTTGGCAACATAGCTGTTCACGTGTGTGTTTTTTGTCTTATATATCCATGGCTTTAAAATGATTTTGTTTGAGCGTTCATGATGAAAATAAATCCAGAAAATCGCTTTGGACGCACGAAATTAAAATAAAGTGTTAAATTTAATCACTTAGGCTCCAAATGAAATATAGTACATTTGGGGATATTCGAACATGTGGGAAAGAATATTATATGTTATTCAGGATTTTCACAGGAGGTATACGCTCATATACTCTGTCAGTGATCCCATATCCCCTGTGATACCCGAATAACAATTATTTTACTGGAGTTTCTTGATTTCAACATTAGCTACCATTCTTATCTTCGCTTTTGTTCACATGGAATATGGGCTCATATACATGTCAAGGTAACCAATCAAATTGCAGAACTAAATGGGATATTTTAGATCCTCAAAAACATTTAATCACTGTTGCCAAAAAGGTCCAATTTAAAAACCTACGATGCTTGTATGCCATATGAACGATAAATGCTCGTTGGAAACCTTACATGTATGTTTACTTTCCAGAAATGCATTATTCTGATAAATTCTATGATGAGAACGACAACATAGTATGTATACTGTGGGATTATTTACAGCTCATCCTACAGTGTAAATATGTGTTTTTTGTTATATTGTTCCCGTGCTGGACTGTGGTCACTTCAGTCGATATGCACAATGCAGTAATTTGGATTCTATTTTGCCCTGGATAAATATCGTCGAAATCATGTACAGAGGATGATTTGTACTGTTCCTATACTGTATGAACGTCTTTTATGCAAACATGCATAAAGATATAAAGACGTGAGACCTCAGAATATAAGTAAGAAATATCGGTATTATATCCTGTCGGACGCTTACAAGTAATGCAACCTGTACCCTCAGCATGAAAAATAAAAAAACAAAATAACGCCATCTTAGCCATGTTTTTTTCTATTATACACATGTTAATAAATGCCTGCGAAATCGTTTCATTAGAAACATAGTAATGGGAATAGCAGTAAGTATAAACAATTTTTTTTAGTATTAAGTGAGTTTTCATTATATCGCATTTCATATATCCGCCGAAAGTTTTATTATGAAATGTTAATTGTGAATGAATTTTAATGTATCTCCTACAAATGCATATGAGTATAGGCTACATATATTCTACTTCTCTAAACAGCTCCACTGTACTTATTCGTCAGTCAATTTCACAATATAGTATCTATCATAATCGGACATCGGACTGGAGACTAGAGATTTTTGTGCAAGATGAACAAAAATTTTGATAAATGTATCTCGACTATCATCCAGATGCTATCATTCAACTAATACATGTGTATTTGGAAATTTAATGGAGAACAAACAAACACATTTCATGTAGAAGATCGTGGTGAAAGTACCATTTCTTCTTTCAACTCTAGCAATTCCTAACTGTGTAAAATTAAAACTTCACATATATCCCTTTTTGGCCACGAAGCTGCAACTGGTGGACTGCTTGTACCCGACGGTATCGTAGCCAAGTGGTTCGCCACCAAAATGATTATAACATACATTTCTTTAATTTCCGTTGATAGATTTATCTCTGTATTTTTAAAGTTATGGTGTATTTATTCTTGAGATAACTTCTCTTATGTGTGCCATATCATTCTCTCAATTTAAGTCCAGTTTTTTTCTATTAGAAATCA